AAATTATTATAATTCAAGCATCCTTAATGACATGATAGTTCTGTTTAGTACCGGAGATGTGGTCGTAGCGCCTACAAAACTACTTTGGCTTAAATTTCACAGGACCTACATGCACTAGCAAATCGCTCAATGAAGATTTTCTTAGGCAATGCAGAAGCTCGATTTTCATTTTCTGTGCCTAGAGTGAAATAGAGATCGTCAGGCCCTCAGTTTACAGTATTGATGGTATCAATTGTGACAAGATATGGCTGCTAGCTTCACCCCCAGAGACGGAGGAGAGAAATGTTTAAAGGAAGTACAGTGGAAGAAAATGTATGGGAGCTGGAATAAGTTAGAGGGAATGATGTAAGTTTAATGGGTCTGGAGATTCATTTCCAGTGACTCCATGGGCTCCACCAACAACGAATTTCAGCCGTTTCCCCGGTGGTCTCATGCCATTTGTTCTTAGAGTCCTGAATGCACCAGCTAGACTGTCTATCCCTGTTCAAGTGGCTCAAAGCAATAGTCAAACACTCCATGCAAAGGCGCCAAGTTTCGATTTTGCCGCTCTAATTCTTTTTCAACGAAATCCTTTTTCAGCTAGCATTGTTCAACTAGGCAAAGGATGAAGCAACATGTGTTTTAGCCGTCTCAACAAATGTGATTTGAATACCTCACAAACTGGCTCTAACGGTTGCTTGTCGCCTTGTGCCTTGTGCGGTGGGTAGACGAAAAATATCTGCAAACAAAGGCAACAGACTCTTTCATATTTTCACTCGTAATATATTCAGTCGGTGTTGATGAGGAACAGAGGTTCATCAGAATGGAATCACAAAAGACTATCGTCACAGCCGGTTAGCCAGCAGGGGACTTGATGAGATTTCCGTCTAATATTACACCTGCAAACACTAAAGTTGGGCTTTAAATACCGTTCCGCGTTTTCTGTTAGTTAGACCGTTTCTGTCCCTTGGGCTGCTGTTCACATTTCGTTCGAGTGCTTATATTTGTTGACTGTGAACCATTTTACCGTCAGCCATTGTGTTCTTGATGTTTTGATGCCAAATAACCTCATATTTGAAGGTTTATTGCATGTTTATCTGACATATTTTGTTAAACGGAATAATAATCTTGCAGACCTTGAAAAATTCGTCGCTAATATAATTTTCTTTGGGACAATTTCGTTCTGTTTTTGATACGGTTGGAGATTGCTAGTCATTCACAGTATCACTCGTGCAGTGACTGTAATCGTGAGTAAAACCGGTGTACTATTCCAAATGGCGTAGCTTCCTCGCTCGAACCTTGAAACTACGTGCTAAGATAACTTTGAGATTACTGCTAAACAGCTTCGATAGTATTAGTTCCTTATTTTGGTGCCTTTTAGTCATTATGTAACAGTTGAGGTGTCATGAACAATTTGAACCCTCTGAGACAAGCAGTGCATTTTTATTTTCACTTTCTGGCGGTGACAGAGAGGACTGTCTCGGTACCGTTATTATAATACACCCAACAAACTTACTACTTATCCACCAGCTTAATTCTGATGCCCTGAGTTACCGGAACGACTCTTTTAATAATAATTGTACTCGCCTTCGCGAAAGGTTTTACTGCACTGGGTAAAGTTATAACAAAGACGGATATCCACCAGCAATACAATCAACGGTGAACCAGTGAGACTCGGACAAGCCGTTATGGAAAATAGATATCTTTCAAGATTCATTGAGAAAAAATTTGAGCGAAAATCTGAAAGAACCCAGACAGCGCTAGAACAACTGCCATTCATGAACGCTGAATTTAAAGATGTTACCACTCCTGAGATCCTGGAGGAACACTTATGCGGATCGCTGGGAGAAGCTTTCTTTTCTAGTGAGCTATGGATCAATTTCTACAGCCGATGAATGATCAATGGATGTGTTGGGGATGAACTGTCTCTCTGGGGCAATTCAATGTGTGTTTATATATTCATTTGCATCTGTGTAGCTAATTATATTAACCGCGCAAGGCTCACACTTTCCAGATGCATCTATGAACACTACCCGGCATGATTAGCAAAAAGACAATGCAAGATAATTACTAGCTCAATTCTCGGTCAACTGAGTTAGCTGAAGCCAAACAGCCCCACCGGTCGTATTTCTAGATTGTTTAAAATGCGAGGTAAAATGGCATAAAGGGCGTCAGTTTCGGCACTCGTGTATGGCTGAAGCGTTGGTAATTCGTCAATACAACCCTGAACTGTGTATGAACCAAACGTCTGTCCAGGTTCTTATTCTGCCAAGGTCCTAAACTCTTCCCCAGTCGTTTCCTGTTAGTTTTTATTTTTATTTTAGTTTAATTTTGCTTTTACTTTGATGATTAATTCACTATCACTACTCTCACAAGTTCCTTTTGTTCGTTTTCTCACTCTCCTCACACTTGTTAAATGAATACTCAACTACCTTTCTTCTCATTCATTAACAATTTTAATCTTACCAAGTTTCTAGCCCTTTTTCCCTCGTGCCATTGAGTATTAGGAAATTCATAACTTTTACTTTTTAGTTTCGAGGCCACTCCTGAGTAACTGTGACAGCTATACCAATATTACGACTCAATAGTCAACTACTATACATTTTTGATCAGTACAAATGCAATTGTACAGCCTCTGAAGATGATTTCATCGTCAAAATTTATTGGCAAAACTGTCTTCAGTAAGTCTGACGGCAAATTGATTTGGAAACTACTCCGACACTGTGAAGTTCCCCAAATGTTAATCAACCTCATTCAACCAGAGTTACATGACAATTGGACGTGTTGGGTGATTTACAGCGTAAAACTCAGCCAATCCTCTGAAGTGAATACAGGACTAAGACAAGGCTACCTGCCTGTTATTACCTGCAAGTTTTCAGGAGAGGTTGGAAACAAACCTGGAATTCAAGTGAATACAGGGAAGGCGGAGGTGATCAAGATAACCAACAAATGACCACCTATCACTACCAACGGAGGAAACTAGAAAGACGTTGTCAAGGAACTTAAACCTAAGTTCCGATTGTTACGAAGACGCTCCGAACCGATAATTACTACGACTGATTCCCGACTTTAACTCCAAAACACCAGTGGTTGTAAGAAGGAAGTTGTATAATTTGGCACTTAAAATCGGAGGATAGTACATAGTCTGTAAACAAACGTTTTATACAAAACATGAGGTACTTTTATTCGTTCTCGTTCGTCCTCTTCGAACCTGTAGACGACTGAACCATTCGCGCCTTCGAGTTGCCCACCAGTGGTGAACCAACGTTCAATGTTCACTTCCATTGGCATAAGGTATCATTAGTAATTCAGCGAAGATCCCAGTAAATTAGGGAATCTGATTTAGATATATAGAAAACAACAATCTATACGAAGAAACAGTGCTTTTCAATTAGTTCCTGGTCAGTGGCCCTACAGTAACATAGAGTTTCTTTGAAAGGATAAATCAGAGTTATGCCGATCGAATAACAATTTTGGGTGAAAAGAATTACGGAAATTTAAACAAGCACTCTTAGGATCCTTCTCGAAGGTAACACTGGGATCGTTTAAATAGACGTATAGGCCCACGTAGCTATACTGAAGGTGTAAGAAGCGACGCTTAGTTTTTTTAGGGGGGTAATCCTTGGTGAACTGATCCCGGAAAATACGTCGTGGCTTTGATATCCAGTTATTGCCACGTTTAGCCAAATGTCTTCAGTTTGCGTTCGATATGTACAACTGTGTTGGAGGGCAGCACACTCCTACGGTGCATATTACTGTGTTATGAACTCCTAATCAGTAGGGTCAGAAATAAATGTAAGCAGATTTCGGTGTATGCTAATGTATGTGTTCGCCAATAACTTAGCAGTACTACGTGTCAGCCACGTCTCATAAACCGTTAATGCCCAGCTCTTGCTACGCTCGGGCTCACGCTGTTCCTTGAAGTTTCTCAGAAACGCTTAGTAATAACGGACGCAAAAACCAAAACACCAATTGGTGACTCGAGGATTCTTTATTGTTAAACCAACATATAAACAATGCTACAACTAAGGTTTCTGACGGTTTTTTACTCTTCTTTCTGAACAGCGACCGATGAGACGATGACTGTCGTATTGATGCCTCCGCGAAAATTTGGGAAGTTGGTTTTGAGCAAACAACCATGAATTGATCGTTCAATCTTCAACTACATTGGCACTGCGATTATCTTTCTCTGGTAATTTTTACCATGTCATTGTATTATTTAGAGGATCTTAAACTGTCGTTAAAAATTTTAACGCTCGGGTGTATCTGTCTACCTTATCCTTATAGCATCTTGGAATAAGTTGTGTGAGATGTTTGGGAATAATTTGAAGCATACCGGTAGGGGACTTATACTAGAGTTCACTAACATTATAAATATAAGAATAATAATCCAAGTCAATGGAGTGTTAAATAACAATATATTACGAAAAAATGCAGTGACGAGTTGTATCAACGAAAAGGATTACTTGGATATAAAGTATAAGTCCTCTGCTCCAAATTATGTATATAATCCACGGGTACGTTAATTGATTGGGTTGCGTCTGCTGTAGCTGCTGTGTTCCGGTTGTAGAAATGTCTTCGGTTGAGAGTAGTAGACTCCTACAATAAATCCGAAGTATACAACACGGTGTGAGTGGAGCAAATAAGCAGAAGTGACCAGGGAGAAGACGAAGTCTCCAACAGCAGAGTGTATTTTTCAATTGTACACGGAAGTTATCTATATTTCAACAAGAAGCGTTTTAAACAAAAATTATGTACAATATCTACAAATAACCAAAAAGTGTACAATCACATTGTTACGTACTCCACATACCCGGCAGGACTAAGGACTTCTCCGTCGGTAGAAGATGCAATGGCAAATTTATTCTAGTCTTTCCTAATGAGTCACAAAGAAGAATTTCGTAAGCCAAACTGTTCCTCTCATTGCTATTTCCTCTCCTTTAGTGGTCTATGCAATTCATATAAAAGATAAAATTCCAAGTGTTGACCTTGGTTAGAGGAGCCTTTTCTGAAAGTCGAACATGCAATCACACGAGGCGGTTTTACCTGAGTTTGGTAGTCTTTCATTCAACGAAAATCCCACAGGATGGGGTCCAGTGGATATTCCAGAAGAATTCAAGAGCATGCCCTACCAACCGTTCTCAAAAGATATGCGTTTAGGCAGGGTACGGCCGTAAAATAATATAATTAATTTTCTTAGGTTGCCGATTGGTCTGGAAACATATTTCAGGATATGAAATCTAAAGGTTTGCAAAAAGATTGCCATTAAATATATTTCTAGGGCGTTATGTTTCCCAGTTTGTCGGTTCCCAATACGCTTATTATCATGATGAGGATGACAGTAATTTCCAACTAGTGTCTTCTGTGCGCGAAACCAAGACTCCTGCTATTCGTCAAAGATATAGATTCCCGATGGTTAGTTTTGTTATGTATTCGCCTATATTTTGGTGGGTTTTCATTCCTAAAAGACATTTATTTGCACTGTAGTTATCGTCCATATTTCACCATAAAGAAGAGCTCATTGAAGTAATTTAAGTTTTGGCTAGCTAGTTGAAGATATCAGTTATGAGAATATTTTCCGAGATTGACAAACTCTTCATTTGTAAACAGTACAGCCAAGAATTTGCTTGAATTAAATCTTCGGCTATTGAGTTCCACTATGTGTGAATTCTAGGCAGTTGTGAACACCATTGTGCATCTGTGAACTTGTCAAGAATTCGTAAAATTTTTGAAATCTCACTGATTGCGGACGTCTTACGTGTGTAGAATTAGCTTAGACTTAATTTCCATAAATCGCAGTTGCAAAGATACCAGTCCAATTTAGAAGCACGAATAATGGAAAACCCCATTTTGAGGAAATTCCTTCGATATGCACAATTCAGATCAATCTAGGAGGTTGCTGGTTTGTTTTGCAGAGTCACTCACTAAATTACTATGTGTGGCTATAAGGGATGTTTGGCAGACCACAGATTTAAGAGTACCACCAATTGTCTGTATAGGCTGTAACTACAAAATTTTATTTAACTCCGTGAACTGCGTTGAAATCACACTTTATTCTTCGTTCTTAGTTTCCTTGAGACGTATTCCTACGGAATATGTACATGACAGTATCAAATGTGTTCGGGCTTTGAGTATTCCACTGTGTTTTATGAATACCCTTTGAGGGAGTTGGAATGTTAATGCCAACTATAGGCCAGCCAGATTAAGGTTTGTTGAATTCATGGATGAGGCTACATTTCAGTGAATGCATGCGATGTTGAACTTGATCTTATCCGCTTGGTGTCTCTACAGAAAGGTACTATTAGTACTTGTGTTGTAATCGTTGGAAGCAACTTGGTTATTTCAGGCATTTACCTCAAGTTTTTTTGAATTAATAATATTCATGTAGTTCACTTGTTTTTACTAATAGCTGTTATCACTTTTAACTTCGGACACTTAGTTTCACTGGGAGATTTCACAAATATTTGAAAGGTTTCGTTTATCTATTTTTTAGCGTGGTCGTCGAGGTGTAGGTGGTCCAGGCACGGGGTATCCTTGGGGAGGCCGCGGTAGTTATCAAATTTTGGGGGCTCAGGGTAATATGAGCCGTAAGCTGCGTAACGCGTCTGATAGAGAACGGATGATGTTACAGCAGAATAGGCGTTGGCAACACTGGGGTCCCGGTGGTATGGGTCAACGACGTGGAGGTCAAGGCGCTGGTGGATGGAGGGGCAATGCAGGTGGTTGGGGCGCTAATAATGATCGCAGACAAGCTCACAGAGCAGTACGTGATGCATCTATTCAAATTAAAGATAACTGGACGATGTTGGAAGAGTTAGACTTCACCAGACTTTCAAAGTTAGCTCTACCTAATGTAAAGGAACCGGAAGATAAGTAAGTAATCTTTTGCATTTGCTTTGATTGCTGTTTCTATCAATGTATTAATGAATTCGTTTTTTCTCCATAGAGTTGAGTGTGGTGAAATGGAGTATTATGACAAGTCCTACGATCGTGTTAGCACTCGTAACGAACGTCCTCTTGTTAAAGTTAACCGTGTCCTCCACACAGTCACAACAACTAGGGATCCAGTAATCTGTCGATTAGCCAACGATTGTGTAGGCAAAGTTTATTGTACGGACACAATGGCTGCTATGATTATGTGTTGTACTCGTTCTGTATATCCTTGGGATCTTATTGTTCAACGAATACAAGATCGTTTGTTCTTCGATAAACGGGAAGATGCCGAATATGGTTAGTTTATTTCTCAAAAGTTGTAAAATTATTTTTACTACATCAATTTAGTTTAATATCATATATGTATAGGTTTTACGTAACTTACATTAAGTGCAATAGTGACTTGTCAAGTGCACAGTTTCTGGTAAGATTTCATTGCAGTTTCCTTTGAAAACCGCAATTAATTTGTATCATGTATATCATTTCTGACATTCTGATAACCTGACCCTAAAAAACTAGATCGATTCTCATGTTTAATCTCATTTTAGTAGTTATTATGTAGCAATGCTAACCACTCTAATAACCATTAGTGAAAATGTTGAGAATAAGTTTAATTGACAACCATATACCGTCTTCACTTCAGTTGGTTACTGTTTGTAGGCTCCCACAGGGGTACATAGATCCAAATGGTGTTTTTATTTGTATACCATTCTTTTGGGCATTCAATTTACAACTGGATTTTTCCCCAACACACTTCTACTTGTTGAGTTAAGTGCCGAATTCAGGTTTCATAATTGCGCATGTCCTAATTAAGAGTCAGGCTAGCACATTTACCCGTAAATGATCAAAAGTATTATGGTTATTGGCTAGGTGACATTCACTACTACTTCCTTCATGGCAAAACATTGTCAACATGTAAAACATACTCGGCATGTTCATCCTTTCAAATACATTCTGAACTAATGCTTTTGACTTCTACAGCTGTCTCAGCTAGGTGCCTACTTCACTTAACAAGTTTTCTTGTACTGCTCAGCAGTCCTCTGCGTCCTCCTTTATGGCTGTGAGACCTGCCTGTTGAAAGTGGAAGACATGAAAAGGCTGGCTAGATGATTAAGGCACTCTATTCGTACTCATACAGCCAGGTGAGGGCTTACGGCGAGCTGTCATCTGAACTGATGACGACCAGTGGTGTCCGTCAAGGATGCCCATTATCTCCTTTTCTATTCAACTTCATCATAGATGTGTTAATGGACTTAACCCTAGGTGACTTCAGTGACTCAGGAATTGACTTGCTACCAGGGAATAATCTCGTTGACTTGGAATATGCAGACGATATAGTCCTTCTAGGCGAAGACGCTGACGAAATGCAGAGTCTTCTAAACACCTTGAGCCGCAATCTACGAATGTTTGGCATGCGATTCGCTCCCGCCAAATGCAAGATGATGTTACAGGACTGGACTACATCGACGCCTAGTTTAAAAATAGGAAGTGAAGTGGTAGAGCACGTTGACCGCTTCACTTATTTGGGAAGTACCATCAGCCCCAACGGGCTGATCTCTGACGAAATCTCAGCACGAATACAAGGGGCTCGTTTCGCATTTGTTAGTTTACGCCGACTCTGGCGTAGACGAGATGTTCGACTATCGACCAAAGGGCGGGTGTACTGCTCATCAGTCCGCTCCGTCCTCCTTTATGGTTGTGAGACCTGGCCACTGAGAGTGGAAGACATGAAAAGACTAGCTGTCTTTGATCATAGGTGCCTGCGTTCTATTTCCCGTGTAAAGTGGCATAATAAGGTGAGCAACATGGAGGTTAGGCGTAGAGTTCTAGGTAAACAGGGGAAATCAATCGACGAAGTCGTGAAGCTACAAAGACTGAGATGGTTAGGACATGTGTTACGTATGCCAAGTCATCGCCTCCCTCGACGAGCTATGTTAGCGGATATAGGGTCAGGCTGGAAAAAAGCTAGCGGCGGTCAAACAAAAACTTGGCATCAGTCAATGAAATCCACAACAGTTGGTCTAAGCCACGTAGAAAGGTGTAGACTTCCACGCTGGGGTCCTCGGGACGGTAAAAATCTATGGTTGGAAACAATTGGTGACATGGCTCAAAATCGTTCTCAGTGGCGCAGATGTATCCACTCCTTGTGACTTATGATCTCCAATGAAACTGTTTTGTATTTCTTTATTACTCCTTTGTCTCACACCTTTGCTTACTGTTTCCATTATGCTTTTCTTGTACTTTCTTCTCTTGCTTCGCGTGCTACACGGAATGTGGCGACTTGAACTTCCGCACATTTGTGCAAAGTTCTATGTCGAAAACAGACAGACAGGCTAGCTGTCTATGATCATAGGTGTCTGCGTTGTATCTCCCGTACTAAGCAGTGGTATAGTAGGGTGAGCAATATTGAGGTTAGGCATCGGTCGAGTGCTATGTGAGTGGGAGGGGAAATCAATAGACGGGGTTGTGAAGTTACGTAGACTGGGATGGTTGGGACATGTGTTACGTATGCCTAGTCATCGCCTTCCTCCACTGACGGCCAATGTTATCTGACATAAGGTCAGGCTGGAAAAGAGCTTGCGGTCTTCAAACCAAAACATGGCACCAGTCAATGAAATCCACAACAGTTAGTTAAAGCCACGTAGGAAGGTGTAGACTGTCTGGCTGGTTGGGTCCTCGGGACGGTACAAACCAAATGCTGGAGACATTTGGTGATATGGCTCAAAACCGTTCTCAATGGCTGGCGCAGATGCATCGACTCCTTGTGACTTATAATTTCCAATACAACTATATTGTTCTTCGTTATTACTATTCCTTTTGTCTCATATCCCTGTCTACTGTCTCTATTATGCGTTTCTTCTACTTTCTCTTGCTTTGTGTGATACATGGAGGGAGTGTGGCGACTTGAACTGGTACACGTCGGTGCAAAGTTCTATGTCGAAAACAGGTAGACTTGTCCCATAATGTTGAGTAATGGTAGGAGAAAAGCATTAGACAGACGTTTTGTTATTAGGACCACACCAGAATCTATGTAACGATGCTCTATCGAAATAAGATACTGTGAATTATTTTAAAAGAAAGATTAAAGTCTGTTGGTGACACTGCTAATTTCTTCTGTTTCCAGACCAGTGAGAAGTATCTGCCACTTACCGCTTCATCTGTCAAATCTTTCATAAGGATTTAATGGTGAAGTACTGGTTGTTTAGTAATATTGAAGTCATGTGTTGAGAAATACGCCGATGGTAGGGAATAGTTGTGTTGTACATTTGGCATAGCTGGAAATCATGAGTTATTTGTTTTGGACCTATTGACTGAATGCCTACATGTTGCACGGTTGAGACTTGATTTACCGTTAACTAGCATGGGCGTATAAAGACTAGCTAGGGTGAAACAGTTGTTTGTCACCCCGTGGTTTTCAGCAATATTACTAGTTATCCTGTACCGTACATAATGATTATTAGTTGTCACCTCTGAAGACCTATGTACACTCGGATCTACGGATCTACGAATACTTAACTCTTGGGGTTTTAGTGTTGATGCCATGGTCACATTCTCTAACTTTTGAATCAACACACATAATATTTATAATGTAATAGTGTTTATTTTTCATCTGTTTTATCATTCTAATCTGATTTCTCTGCTGCATAGATCTTGCTAGCGTCTGTGAAACAGCAGCGGAGCCACCGAATGAAGAACCTGGTCATATTAATGCCCCGCAAGGTTTAGCATTAGAAGCTACTTTCATAAATACCAATTTATCTCAGCAGATGTTGTTAATGGTAAGCAATAGTTAAGTTATTTCTTTTTGGAATATTTTCAGTTTTTATTTTTCTAGTTAACCAGTTACAGATGGCTGCGTGTTTGTGAATGAGAGTTGGTGATGATGGTGTTCTCCAACACTATGGATTCATGCAAAGATACATCTGTTAATATTTGCCTCATATCCATTTGAAATTTTAAATTATGTACTGGTTATCTGTCCTTATCATATTTGTTGAAGGTTGCACCTGGCAGTTACTTGTGCGTCGGTGGCACAGTGGTTAGGACTCTCGCCGACCATGCACATGGTCCGGGGTTCGAGCCCGCACCGACGCACATCTGATATCTATGGTGGGCCTGCAAAATTTGGGCTACCGATATCCATGCTGAAAATTCCATGCTTGTACCGAAAATATAGTGTGGAATCAAGCTGTAAATCAAAAAAAAAAATTAAGGTTGTTCTAAATGCAAGTTTGTTTTATCCACATTCGAGTTAAATCACTCTTTCGAGTGGATTCATCTTCATCCACATTTGAAGTAAGTGTTTGTCAAGGTACTGTGGGTTCATTTCATGCTAAAACCTGCGCTGAAGGAAGATGTCTAGAAGGACTATGGAAGCTTCACAACCAGATTAAAGAACACAATTTATTCAAAATCATCCATCTCCTCTACAAATCTTCTTCATTATTTCGATGTATGTTGAAATTGCGTTTGGTGTGTATATGATAAATGACATAATGTATTAGAAGTATGCCACTGTCTGTCTGTCTGTTTTCGACATAGAACTTTGCACAAATGTGCGGAAGTTCAAGTCGCCACATTCCGTGTAGCACGCGAAGCAAGAGAAGAAAGTACAAGAAAAGCATAATAGAAACAGTGAGCAGAGGTGTGAGACAAAGGAGTAATAAAGAAATACAAAACAGTTTCATTGAAGATCATAAGTCACAGGGAGTGGATGCATCTGCGCCACTGAGAACGATTTTGAGCCATGTCACCAATTGTTTCCAACCATAGATTTTTACCGTCCCGAGGACCCCAGCGTGGAAGTCTACACCTTTCTACGTGGCTTAGACCAACTGTTGTGGATTTCATTGACTGATGCCAAGTTTTTGTTTGACCGCCGCTAGCTTTTTTCCAGCCTGACCCTATATCCGCTAACATAGCTCGTCGAGGGAGGCGATGACTTGGCATACGTAACACATGTCTTCTTTCTTCTTCTTTAGTTCGGCTATCTCCTACGGGAGGATGAACCGGCTTCATGAACATCTCGAATGTTTGTAAGAGAGTTGATGAAGTTTCATGGGAATTGGGTACGAGTGATGTCCCCAGCATCGCTCGGCCTTTTGTTTGAGAGTGCAGCTCTAGCCTTTACACAGCCAAGTGTGACCTACAAGGCAGTAGGAGTGGAGTAGGGAGTCCACTATCCATTGGCATCCGGTGACCGGTTCATACGCCTTTTTGAATGGGGCCAGACATCCAATAAGCTCTTTGTCCATACGTCTGCCGGTGAACTCCGGTGAGCTTCATACGCCAGTCGTTGGAGGTTTGGAATCAGGGTTTAGCCATTTCCCCTAGACTGTCATCCAATGGACAGTCAACCCGGTGAAGAGCGCCGGGCATCCGCTTTTGCCCTCTCACTTCGGTGAAAAACACCTCCGCCACGTGAAGGCAGTGAGTAGGACTTCCTCAGGAGAGGCTATGTAAGACGCACGGTCATATGGGAGCATTTCAAGAGGTGTACGGAGGGGTGGCTAGCCCGCAGCGCAAGACACCCACCCCCGACCATCCTGAGGCTAACCATCTCAGTCTTTGTAGCTTCACGACTTCGTCGATTGATTTCCCCTGTTTACCTAGAACTCTACGCCTAACCTCCATGTTGCTCACCTTATTATGCCACTTTACACGGGAAATAGAACGCAGGCACCTATGATCAAAGACAGCTAGTCTTTTCATGTCTTCCACTCTCAGTGGCCAGGTCTCACAACCATAAAGGAGGACGGAGCGGACTGATGAGCAGTACACCCGCCCTTTGGTCGATAGTCGAACATCTCGTCTACGCCAGAGTCGGCGTAAACTAACAAATGCGAAACGAGCCCCTTGTATTCGTGCTGAGATTTCGTCAGAGATCAGCCCGTTGGGGCTGATGGTACTTCCCAAATAAGTGAAGCGGTCAACGTGCTCTACCACTTCACTTCCTATTTTTAAACTAGGCGTCGATGTAGTCCAGTCCTGTAACATCATCTTGCATTTGGCGGGAGCGAATCGCATGCCAAACATTCGTAGATTGCGGCTCAAGGTGTTTAGAAGACTCTGCATTTCGTCAGCGTCTTCGCCTAGAAGGACTATATCGTCTGCATATTCCAAGTCAACGAGATTATTCCCGGTAGCAAGTCAATCCCTGAGTCGCTGAAGTCACCTAGGGTTAAGTCCATTAACACATCTATGATGAAGTTGAATAGAAAAGGAGATAATGGGCATCCTTGACGGACACCACTGGTCGTCATCAGTTCAGATGACAGCTCGCCGTAAGCCCTCACCTGGCTGTATGAGTACGAATAGAGTGCCTTAATCAGTGCAATATATTTTCTTGGAATTCCCTTTACAGCCAAGCATCTCCAGAGAACTTCCCGATCGACAGAGTCGAATGCTGCCTTTAGGTCAAGAAATATAATGACTGTTGGACGCCGGTAGGAATGCCTATGTTCTAGAATCTGTCGGAGGGTGAAGATATGATCAATACACCCTCTTCCTGGTCTAAAGCCTGCCTGGCTCTCTCGTGTTTGTGCTTCCCGAGCACCACTCAGTCTACGCATGATTATTGAGCCTAAGACTTTAGATACTATATTAGTCAAGCTAATCCCTCTGTGATTATCACAGGAAGACTTGTCTCCCTTCTTGTATATGGGGATAATCAGTGACTTACACCAACCCGATGGGACTTCTTCTGATTCCCAGACGCTGCCTAGTACCTCAGTTAATCCGGACAGTAAGCTGTCTCCACCGTACTTAAATACCTCTGGAGTCATTCCATCAGGTCCCGCTGCTTTGCCTAGTTTCAGATTGGTGACAGCTTTAGTAACCTCAGTTAGTGACGGAGGACCTGTGTCTATATCCCATTCAGGGAGGTGTTGGATGCTCGGAAGGTTGAGCGTGGCTGTGGGCAAATTAAACTGCTCCTCATAATGCTCTTTCCAACGATCCAGTCGTCTATCCTGGAGCTAATTATAGTGCCATTTTTTTCCGAGATTGTCTCACTAATGATTTGTCTTCTCCCACCCGTTTCCCTGATGAGTCCAAAGAGTTGCCTGGTGTTGCCTATCCTCAAAGCTTTCTCCATCTCTTTGGCTTTTGTCGCCCACCACTGTTCACGGTCCTTGCGGAGACTTTTCGTAAGTTTCCTCTTGTGCAGCTTTCGCTCCTCATTGAATTCGGAGCTCGCCGGAATAAGTCTTCTAGCATCTATCAGTTCGGATGAGGCGGTGGAGATCCAGTGGTTTTTACTCACCTTTGGGTTTACCTTATTCACAGCTTTTACAGCTGTATCTATGGCTGCCTGGATATTTTTCCAAGCTTCTTCAGGGTGAGCACAGCTGTCGAACACAGATATGTGTTTAGCTAGTTCTTCCTGAAATACGGATTTAGTTTCCTGATCGAGCTGGGGACGTGATGGTTTTACCGCCAGCTGTTTCCTACGTCCGTTCAGTCGTAAGCACACCCGAGCGCGGACCAGTGCATGGTCGGTATCTACGCACGTGTTCCAGAAGGAGCGACAATCTCCTACCGACCCACGCCAACGATAGCTTATTGCTATGTGGTCTATTTGTGTCCAGCGTTGGTTTGATGAAGGGGGTCTCCAAGTCAAACAGTGTCTTTCCTTGTGTTTAAAGTTAGTGCTTACAAGAAACAAATGATTATCAGAGCAGAACTGTAGGAGACGGTCACCGTTGTCGGTTCGCTGGCACGGAGCTCCATAGGTGCCACCGACATCCTTCTCAGATTGACACAATTTCCCTACTTGAGCATTAAAGTCACCAGCTAGAACGACTATGTCTGAGCGTTTAGCCTTTCCACCAAACTAGACAGCTTTTGGTAGAACTCATCCTTCGTTTCATCTGAACTGCAGTCAGTGGGGGCGTAGGCGGAGATTACGAAAAGGCATCGGCGAGTAGTGCAGTCCTTCCTCCTTCTTACTGATCCGTTCAGGCGGACAGCACACATTCGGCTATCTACCGGGATCCAGTCAAGCAATGTCTTTTCTGCCCTAGTACTCAAAGCTATCCCTACGCCAGCTAATCCTCGTGAACTAGCTGTGGCATCTCCTGACACCCTCAAGGTGAATTTTGCAGATTCAACCTGTTGGCCAGGTGGGGTTAGGTGAATAACCACACTTGGGTCTTGTATGCGTGTTTCTGAAACACAGCATACATCAATGGCTCGTGATGCCAGGGTCTTGGCTAGTGATGCTTGTTGTCCTATTTGGCAAAGTGTCCTAACATTAAGAGCTCCTATATGAAATTGGTGGCGCGGCTTTAAGAGGCTGTCGGTGGTGGTTTTTTGGCTTCCATCGTTTTTAGTGGACGCAGAGTGGAGAGGAAGTGGAGAGCTATCAAGTCGAGGAGTTGCATCAGTGGAAGGAAGGCAAGATGATAGAGATGAAGATGAAGACAAAGATGAGTGAGTAATAGAGAGGTTTCGTGTGCATTTCGGATTGTGAGGGCGATTGTTACTTCCCGGCTGCCCACACCGTGGAAGTTGGTTGCGTGACCGCAGAGCCCAGGGGACAACTGCTTGAGGCCGGTCACACGCGGCCTGTTTTTGTTCGTTCTTTTTTGTTTGGTGTGTCTCAGTAGCAGATTTATCACTCCCGCCCTGTGACACGGCAGCAGGAAGCGCGGTCGTTGTTAATCCGGGCCACGGCCGATCCGGCATGAAATTTTGTAATTTTGTATTGGACATGATGTTGGATTGGGTAGCTGCTTTTTGTTTAACCGCTATCCAAACAACCTGCCTGGCATGGTAGAACCTCAAGAGACATAAGTCTCAGCCAGTATAGCTTGATTAGGTCATTGCGGTGTTCAAGCCCGACCACCACGTCAAGGTAGCAGCTTTCGGTCGGGAGAAGTATGCCACTACAGTTTTAGACGTACAGGTCTAGTGGTTTTTGGCAGTCTAGTATTGTTTATTTCTTGAAATATGAATGTAAAGAGGTATCTTTGACTCGTACGTCAATCATTACTACACTCAAACTGATCAGTGCATTACCTATAAAAGTGCGTTAATCCACTTTGTGACAAACTTCGGATAAAGCACCAATAGCAAGAGAGAAGATATAACAAGTACTACAGTGGAAAAGCACTGACAGGAGCGGAGAACGCAACTCGATGCATGTTGGGTAAAATGTCAGAATGTTTAAATGAAGATGTTAGAGAACGAGAATATTGTCACCATTGTAAACAAATTTGAGCTATATGTATATAACAGTCACTAGCAATGATTGATTTTTAGCATTGTAAGGAATTCAAGCAAACTGCTTTCACTCTCCTGCAATCCTTCAACCAGATAAAAGTTGTTTTTGTGTAACCACTGGTGACAATTTCCCCCCGCCCATTCTTATTGTACTTTCGCTAACATTATACTTCAAGTAAAGAGACACCTTAGCATATACATAGTTGTGCATAACTTAACTGTTTCGGTCAATGAAATTTTATGAACCTTTGAGATTGACTCATTTTTTGTTTTACACGTTATCTGTAGTCTCAAAGTAGCTTAATCTATGGTTCTATCTGATAGGAGCAGTGGTACAAAGATATGACTATAGATCTAGAATTTCATTTCTCTGCTTTCAGTAGAGATGTCTAATAGTTCCTAATTATTACAAAATGGAATGCTATGCATCATACTCACCCTTTGATATGTATTCTGTAATAGCTTCAGTTAAAAAGATTGACACAAATTAAGTGAATACCAAACATGCTGAGATTATGTGAACAACTGTCCTATAAGGGCTGATGCAGCCTTGATGCATGATCAGCAAAAAGTTTTGGTATTGGTTTGCTAGGATTTGATTGGCTATACGATTTCATTATAAGCTGACATCGCTTAGAGAACCATTGGAAAACCAGCTGGGGAAATGAACAGCTGTTTGGTTCTAGCTAGGGACTCTTCATCAGTAGGCACCCACCGCCAGGGTTCTAACCGCAGGACCTTCCGGTCACAAGGCGAGCTCGTAGACCATTAGGCCACCGGGACCCTATCCAGTGACCAGACCATGAATTCCAACTTCTGCCAATTCACAATGTAGCGTGACTATTACCCGGTTTTATCGCTGGGGAGTATCTGTTCTCACACCCAACCTACTGTACCCCGCTGGTCACAAATTCTCACTACAACACCTGCCTGAATAGGGCCAGTCAGGTAGAAGGTGGAATTCATGGGCCATTGCATTGGGTCCCGGTGGCCTAACAGTCTACGAGCTTTCCTTGTATCCAGAAAGTTTTGGGTTTGAGCTCTGGCAGTGGTTACGTACTGTCGAAGAGCCTCTAGCTAGGACAAAATGTCTGCCCGTTACTCCCAGGTTTTCCAATGGATCTCTGTCGTATGTCAGCTCATGATGAAATCCTGTAAGGAAACGTTTATTCGATTATTTTCACTGCATACCTGTGAAATAAGAGATACCATATGATTCAGAAGTAGTAATATATAGGGTTACCGCATAACCCCCAGAATTTTTTCGGAACCACTCACCACACATTTCAGTACCTTTGTTTCTGCAGTCGCGTATCATTTTAAGTTTACAGAGGAACGAGTGCAGTAATGTAGGAAGATAATTTTGGGGCTGTAGCATTTTGTGACTTCGTATTAGATATGTCTCCTCTTACTTACTTTACTTTACTTCGGCTATCTCCTACGGGAGGATGAGCCGGCTTCATGAACCATGAAGTTTCATGGGAATTGGGTACGAGTGATGTCCCCAGCATCGCTCGGCCTTTTGTTTGAGAGTGCAGCTCTAGCCTTTACACAACCAAGTGTCACCTACAAGGCAGTAGGAGTGGAGTAGGGAGTCCACTATCCATTGGCAGCCGGTGACCGGAGTCCGGTTCATTCGCCTTTTTGAATGGGGCCAGTCATCCAGGGCATCCAATAAGCCCTTTGTCCATACGTCTGCCGGTGAGCTCCCGTGAGCTTCATACGCCAGTCGTTGGAGGTTTGGAATCAGGGTTTAGCCATCTCCCCTAGACTGTCATCCAATGAACAGTCAACTCGGTGAAGAGCGCCGGGCATCCACTTTCGCCCTCTCACTTTGGTGAAAAACACCTCCGCCACGTGAAGGCAGTGAGTAGGACTTCCTCAGGAGAGGCTATGTAAGACGCCCGGTCATATGGGAGCATTTCAAGAGGTGTACGGAGGGGTGTCCAACCCGCAGCGCAAGACACCCACCCCCGACCATCCTGAGGCTTTGGAGGTATATGTCTCCTCTGCAAAGCCACAGTGACTTCGACTCTGAATAATGTTCTGAGCATAAGTTATTGTTCGAATCCGATATCACTTCTTTTTAACACGGTTGACAACAATCGGATTAGTCAGGTTTTGAGAAAATGAGTAATCAATTAAGTATTCTGAAAAAACTGTGCCACTTCTCCTTTGTGCACTTGCATGATATTATTCAATAAAGTGGAACAGGGTGAAAGTATTGGGTAATTACACTGGGGCGGAGAGAGGTGAATTATCAAATCTCTAGCCACCTAATCAACATCTAAAACTTGATTGAAATGGTACAATACCAATCCCAGATAATATAGAAAATTAATTAAAAGGGCAGGAGGTAGTAGGGTTAGATAAAACAGGTTGCGAAGTCATGTGATGAAAATACCTTGATGCAATTACGTGCGGTAAATTATGTTCTACAAAATACCTTTTTTGGTTATAATTGGTTTCATTGTCGTTTGTTTGTCAAGTTTAAATTTGTTAAGTTTATTTTAACTTTGATGAGAGAACTTGAGAATTTTGTTCTCCAGGAAGATGTCAGCTTGTAATACTTTCATTTTTAAACATTACTAAATCTTTCGTCTTGTTTCAACATTCTATTCTTTGGTTAGGGTGGTAAAACGTATTGTTTCCCCGAGGAGAATCCCTTCAAAGATGATGACAATGATAATGATGACGATTCAGATAATCCTAAAGATTCTCAAAATAAGCCAAAAGAAGAATTGGGCTCTGTAGGCTATCGATATCGTGTATTTGATTTAGGCAATGATATACAAATAGTTATACGTTGTGAAGTGAATGGTGTACTCCCACCGACAGGTGATGATCAGACGAATACTAATCCACAATTTGTATGCATACGTGCATTAAATGAATTCGACTCCCGTGTAAGTTCATCAATCTCTCTCTCTCTCTGTTTTTTTAATGATATCTACTTTTGTGTTTATTATAAACGTTTTCTATATCAACAAATTTATCTTTGAGTATGATTGTTTAAAGACAGAATAACTTCGTGTGTAAGCTTAACGTTTATTTTGGATCAATATTTACCAGGACATATATATATATATATATATATATATATATATATATATATATATATATATATTGCGGCTTGGGCTACTGGTAAGATTTATCAGTAGTATGTAAATAAAGGGATGTTCATTGGCATAAAAGCATCCAGTAGCAGGGAGATAGAATTGATATCGGAGAGAGAAAATGATTCAGAGTTGTGGAGATACATGGAAGACGGGAAAGCGACACAAAGAAACACAATATGAAGGAAGGCCAGAAATAGCACAACACGGAAGATATGTGCAAATGGTGCTCTAAAGGTGTACACAATTTTGCTATATAGAGATAGCAAATTGCAAATAAACATCCCTTTACCAAGTCTTATATCTTCAATCGTTACAATATTAGTAAGCCTCCAGTTGGATGAAATGCAGAACTCAACTCCCCAGAACCGAATTCTCATGTACCAGAGTATGAGTTACACACACACTTATAGTATAAGGACTGTTACCCAGACTAAAGTATGTAGAATGGGATTCGAACTATCGATCCATCAGCTGAAAGTTGAGTTCTTAAACGTATGGCTTGCAGCTCTATAGAATAAACTAAACTTAGGAAAGATAACATATACTGGTATCCTATTGTTACTTGCTTAACAAGGGCCTGAATTGAATGGCGCATTAGCGTATAACTTCACACAGAAGTGCATCATTTTCATGTTGGGATAATTCGAAAAACACCCCAAAAAGATTCCAGAAGTGTAAGCTGACAAAAGAACAGATTTTGCGTAACATAATTTTAGTTTTTGGTGTACAATAATCCGAACAGTAGTTAAAAAAATAGATATTGATGCAGAACTCCAGTTTGCCACACTTGTAAGCACTGCAATAATCGGGAGTGAACAGAATGTAGTAATAATGGAATAGACAAATATGATTCTCACTGAAGAGATTGATAAAATATGTTTGGAATGTCAAATATAATGAATAATAATAATAATGTTGTTGGACAGTGCCATTAATAGTCTACAACTATCGGAGCATACCATTTCATGGACTTAGATTGAACAACATTCACTTATCTTTTTTTGGCCTCTGATTAACAGTCGAAAATAGGATGTGTTGGTGGAATGTATTGATTGGATCACTCGTAACTATCTTTCAACTTGTTTGTGTATTCATATAAGAGTGACGTTTTAAAAAGATGGTAGCTCCGAGTACATAGCATATGCTTAAGCCAACTCTAGCATTACTGTCCATCATGTGATATGCTGCATTTACTACTAATGAAAGGCAAATCGATGCAAGGAAATACATATCATAAGTGTTGTATATTCACCTTGAAATTCGTAATTAAACAACCAATGCTAATTCGATGCGCTCTTTTTGCATTTCTTTTCACTTAATGTCAACTGTTAAACAAACAGCAACAATAATTAGTGCTTAACTAACAAGTCTAGAGATTTGTCGTACCAATAAGAAAATTCTCCATACGTTTGAAAACGGTCCTCTGAATTATATCCACGAAAACTGTATATTATTAGGGACTAGTTTTACTGAGCATGGCGTATAGAGTAGTCCTTTTTTGAAGTTGGTGTACATAGGAATCCCTAAATCTTATACCTAACAATCTCAAGTTTATCTCAACTCTAGGAGGTGACTAAATGCTACGGATTTAGTTATTTTCATTGATAAAATTTAGTTCTTTTCACCTAATATTACCTTTTCTAGAAGCTTCAATGTTCGTTTTTATAATCTGCTTGCTTTTCGATGCCTCATCGCTGATGAAAAAACCTTTGCCGGCCGACGCACTCCTTTGCCTCGCTAAGTCAGTAATAAGGCTGGTAAAGAGGAAAAGGTTGGACATGAGGCTAGCAACCCCACCCTGTAAAAAGAAATAGACACTGCTACAGAAACTTCAAGCCTCTAGCCCTATGTTCCATTAGGAACGTGAAGGAATAAGAAAACCGACAAAAATGCTTGAAAGTCTTTCAAACAGTCCATTCGTTTATTTATTTCAATCAGTGTTGTAGTTATGTGTGATAGGAATAGAAACTACGACTAGTCAACACTGGTAGCTAGCCTAAGTTTGGTCATCTTTTTATGTGACTCATCAATAGTGTGATCGGATTACACACTTTTCTATAGCCTTTGTATACTTATGCGTTCATAAGATAAATTATTTCAGGCATATTTATGAATTGATGTGAAAACCCAGGGAGTAGTGGACAAGTGTATTTGTACTGGTGTGGGACTCTTCAGTTGCAGACACACACGATCCCATTAGGGATTGGGTGACTCTGACCTCTAAAGCAGCCCGAAACAAAACTGCTTGACAAAAACCTTGAGAAATTTCATACATTTGGTTCCCTTGATAAATTTCAATAAAGAAAGGAAGACTGAATTTGCAGTATAAAGTGATATCATTCCATATCACAGGTTCCCATCATCTTCAGACTACATGAAATTACAATGGTTATATGGATGACAATAACATGATTTAATGTTTAAGTAATAGTAGCGAAGAAATATTGTAAAATTGACGCATCCAAAATGTAAGCATTACAATTTTTAGTTTAAGTTTTCATCATCAATTTATGCGCTTTTAAAGTAGAAAAGAGGAAGGAGGGTTAAGACAGGAAACAGAAAAAAATTAACAAACAGTGTTATTATTAGTTGTAATGCTTACATTTTGAATGCATCGATTATATGGTATTTCTTCTGTACTATCACTTAAACATTAAAGTACGTTATTATCATCGATATAACCATTGTAATTTCAAGTAGTCTGCAGCTGATAAGAACCTTGGGAAATCTCTATTGACCAATCAGACGCGTCCGAAGCACAAGGGCGTAATTTGAAAAAGATGTTTATATGAAAGTAGTGCAACGTTAAAAAGTTGTTACATAGAATAGCTTCCTTGTATATGTCCCGAGAAAAGCTTCCATTTTCTGATAGGAGTCCTCATAGTTAGGTTAAACCAATATCTGTGCATAAATTCGACGAGATAATTGTAAATTATCGTTTTTCTAGAACCATTCACCGCTCTGACTCTCTTCTTTGGTGACTCTACAAACTTCCGATGTGGTTTGTGTAGGTCTCCTTGAAGGGATTAACGAAATCGTCTGTATTATTGACCACGTTATGAATATAGTCCAGGGATAACAGTTGGCTACACGTTTTCTCCCTTCCGGTGAGCCGGTGATCTAAGTAGTACTTAAATACTAGGTTTGGATAAAATTTGGTGCATAATTCGTGTACAGCACCCATAATTCCGTCTGTATACTATGGTCGCATCTGACTGGTTCCTCACGGTCATTAATCTATTCACTAGGTGGTTTCGTTTTAGGCTGCCATAGTTTAGAGTCACTGAAGATTAAACCCCAAGAGCTTCTGGTTACGAGGCCAATGTCGCCGACTACTCAAGTACTTGAGCTGGAATCCAGTAGCCCATGAATCCTAACTCTTGTCATTTTCTGATTTAAGCTCGACCGCCAGACAGTGTCATCAGCGGGTATTTGTCCTCACACCCTACCTGGTAATGGCCACGTCGGTGGCACTGTGATTAGGACTCTCGCCGACCATGCACTTGGTCCGAGGTTCGATCCCCTGCCGACGCACACATAATATCTATGGTCGGCCTGCAAAATTTGGGCTACCGATATCCATGCTGAAAATTCCATATATGTACCAAGCTGTAATCAAAAATAAAAATAAATAAAATAGAACTTCAAGCAACTTAATCCTGTGACCCGGTCACTAGCGAGCGCCATTACGTCATCAAACCTTAAATAAATCAGTTCCCTGCAAACTAACCCTTGAAAATAAATAATTATTATTAACTGTGCCTCTCTTCGTCTCACAGTAAGAGACAAGAAAGTTTTAAATTACTGTTCATAATAAATACAGACAAAATATGCTGTAAACGTTTATTAAATTATGACAACCAATCATCATAAATTATTTAAATTAATCCCAGCGTGTTAAGAAAATCAAAACAAGATTTTTCTGAAAGTTCCGCTGTGTAAGCCACATCTTCAGCAGATTTATTCGATCTTTTATTAATCATCAAAATGTATAGTCAAAATGTTTTACATAAATTGAAGTCAGTTTACTTGAAGGCCATTTGTCCATGGACATTTTTACCAATAGAAATATGTAAGCAGTCATCACATATATTTGTCATGACTCATGTCAAATTGTTGTTGTGCTCACTCTTCTATAGTTGATTTGTAAAGATTAGATTTGTATGCGTGTGTGTGTATGTATGTTTTTTGTCATATGGAAAATACGTGAATTCATATGTGATAAACATGATACTACATGTTTTAAAAGGTCATGGAGACTCATAGAGTGTTTGTTGTTCAGAAAAATCTTGTTTTGATTTTCTTAACACACTGGGATTAATTTAAATAATTTATAATGAGGAATCAATCTGACTTGGCGCTTAAATTATTCCAGGAAGTTCGTTACACCTACGATTTGAAAACTTATAACCGATCATTTAGGCAAATATTATTTTTGAAGTAAAAAGCTTATACATTTTGAAGTATTTCTTCATAATTATTTCTAAAACTATCTGAATGTTTACGGTAACAATATAAAAAAAAGATATACAGTTCGCATTCATATAGTGCACAATTCACTTGTTTAAATACTCAACACATTCTTTTTCTTTTTGTTGCTTCAAAATTTTCCCCTATCAGTATTGTGGAGGTGTTGATTGGCGTACAAAACTTGACACTCAACGTGGTGCTGTCCTTGCTGCTGAAATAAAGAATAACGCTTTCAAACTAGCCCGATGGACTGTATGCAGTATGTTAGCAGGTGCTGATCAGCTAAAATTAGGGTATGTTAACATATTCACTTCTTATATATCTCCGTAAGACAAACTGATTATTGGTTATTCACATATCAGTTGTTTGCTCTCCAACTCATGATTTTAGCATCATGTAATTGTATCACGTATGGGTGGTGATTTGTATACTTCTGGTTGACTATAGGAAATAGTGATAAGACGTCACTTTGGATATGATGGAGTATATAACTCACAAACAAGTGATTTATTTTATTTTCGTAATTTGCCTGGATAACTGTCATCAGTATTTTGATTGATTTGTGTTATTTCACGGTGAAAAGATGGTGTATGGCATACAGAGCGCTATCCTCTTTCCTCGAACAATTTTGCCGGCAAACGTACAATTAAATTACCTACCACCAGTTGTTACATGATAAAATGACACCAATGTAAGAGAATCTTGAATCTGTTTAGCGGATTGTAGGAGAGTGGAAGGTGCTTTGTGGTTGTCATTTGTTATCATTATTCCCTTGGGTTCCGAGTAGAACATAGGGCCTCAGCGACACAACACATCTTCACTTTATTGTATTTTCTTCTATCCTCTTCAGCTGGGTTAGCTCTACGATTGCTCATAATCTCTCATCTCCTCCTAGCATCCCACGATCTTATCCATGTCACCCATGCACCGATGCCGCCCTCGTTGCTTCCCAATTTTTATTTTACTTGAGTAATGACCTTCATTGCGCGCGATTTCCTTCGATGACCTCCTCAGTGTATGCACAATCCGTCTCCATCTTCTATATATTTGTTGAGCAATTGATTCTTGATTGTTTGTTCCCGTAGTTTTTTAATGCTAATTCTTTCTGACTAGCAAGCCATTTGATCTTAAATATGGAGCCAAAGACGGTGGCAGCTGTTGATAAAATCTAAAGTGGTGTGTTGCAAATAATTTTTGTGACGTGCTGGCCAAATTTCTAACGCGTATAGAACAACTGATTGACTTCACATTAGTGTGTTGAACAAACGACTCTTGTTCTTTATACTGAGTGCAGAAGATTTCCAAACCGATTTCAGAGTGATGGAGGTGTATCTTGTCTTTCCGATTCTGGTTGGCTGGCTTTGACATCTTCATCCATTCCGACTGCCTGTGATTGAAACTATGCTTCCTAGACAAGTGAAGCCAAGAAGTAACCTCTGCAAAATTTCTTCCGTTAATAGTAATTGCTGCTGTTTGTTGTTACTGTCGGTTGGTTATCTTCATCACATCCGTCTTCTCTATGTTCCCCTGGAGTCCTGTCTTCACTGCTCTCCTCTTCTGCCAGCTTGTTGGTTTTCGTCTGCAAGTCTTCGGGACTGTGTGACATTAAACATAAGTCATTCATGCGCCAAATCCAGATCTAGAGTCTCCTTATCGGTTCAGCGTATTTCTCACTCCCAGTGCACAGTCTAACGCATAATCCAGTCTACCACAAGTAAGGATATCATTAATGATAATAGACAGGCAGTGTTGTCTTACTCCTGCATTCACTGCAGATGCCTCGCTGAGTTCTCCGTTGTGGTTCCTCGAAATGGTAAAAATCGACCGATGCTGTGGACTGTTGGTTGCATAGTTGAAAATTGTTCACAACACTGGCGATGTTTATTTTACTTTTTGTTGTAATCTTCAAGCATACAGACATTTTTATCCAAGTTGCATCGAGTTATATTTTCTTCACGCGTCAATGCCTTTACACTATACCATTTTCTATCTAGTTGTTCTGTTGTTATTTGTACTTTGTCCGATGTTTATTGAACTGGACAGAGTCCTTACAGAGCTTCTGTATTGACACTGTGTCTATCGGTTCCAGAATCATGCATAGTGAGTAATGAAGTGAGCGTTTGACTGTTGTTTTCTTTTTTTAAGCTTACATGGATTGTTATAATAAGTAATATATATCTCAGAGTTGTATCACATTACTCTACTGTGAATGATTCGACGACATATTTACAGAAAATCAACATCATTTTATATTCTCAAAAAAACAAGTATAAAATGAGTTGTTGTTGTTCAACAGTTGAAGAAAGTAAAAAAATCCATTTTTATAAAGCTTTAAAATGAATCTATTGTACAATCATTTTGTTAATTGAAAATTTGACCAGAAAAGTATGGTACAGATAATGGTAAAAGGGTAACAACTGTAGTAACCACTCAGGCTTCATAAATAAATTCGAACTTCTTTTTAGCTAGTATTGAGGGTCATTCTCTTCAATATTTGTGTATGTGTGTGTGTTATAGTGATAAGGTCCTTAAAGTAGTTGTATGTAGTATTATGATGCAATTTAAATTGGACATTTATCAGTAACTGGTGTAATGTGTCTAGTCCTATCTTCGGTGCAGACTGAATTTTATCATTCAAGCTTGCAAGGCATCCTGCCGATTGCCTCCAACCATCTAATACCAACAATTATGATGCAGTGTTAATGCTCTTAACTTGTAGTTGTGTGTAGTACGAAGAAGTACTCCGGTTCCACCAACTTGATCATTTGACTGAGCAAATTAAACATCGGTAGTCAATTACAGTTGATGTGCGTGCACTTTCATGTCTTTATGTGTTTATTTAATCTTTACTTTATATAAGAGATTCCTTTCATTATGCATTTTGTATACTCTTGTTCAATGTTAATATTTTCACTCGTGACGGTGACGCTTTTCGCGTACACTGACTTCTATTAATGTTCTGCAGTATTATTACTCCTGCATTCACATGGTTGTGTGTTTCAAGTCAATGTCCTTGTCTTTTCCGTTTTTATATGAACCTTTTAATGCGTAGCATTTTATTTCATTGTCTTCCTGTAACCAATTATCGTGTTCTCCTCCTGAAAGAAGTAATTCTGATAGAGCAGTTAGACATATGGAAGCGATTATTGTTTGTTGTTACCTTGATAATACAAATGTAACTACAGTGATTCTGAGTGTTCGACAGTAACTTTTACGTACAGAATCCTTTTAGGAATTCTGAGATCCTATAGTCTGTTTTCAGAAAATGCAGTTGTTATTCTTTAGTGAGCGGTGTTATCCCAAGATGTCGGCATTACTAAGGCTAGATAAGTGAAGGAAATAACGTCTTTCAAATTTGTTCCTTCATCACCTCCGTCTTCTCTATGTTCACTTAAAGTTCTGTCTTCACTGCTTCTTCTGCCAGTTTGTTGTGGCATGATAATTATTTTTTAAATTTCTGAAAGGTGTCTAACAACAGTTGAAGACTTGTATCATATTATGAAACTAAAGAAGCTGTGTAAAAGCGAAATTGTCCAACTCAGTGGAGCTAAGCACCGTTTCACTGAGACACACATAGTGAGTGAGGTGTGATTAGTTCGTCAGGATACAACTTGTTTCACGGCAATCGTCACCGATGAATATGTTGAAACGAGAATCGGAAAGCCAAGATACACCTTCAACACTCTGAAACCTGTTTGGAAATCTTCTGCACTCAGTCAGCATAAAGAACAAGATTCGGATTTTCAACACCAATGTTAAGTCGGTCAGTTCTTCTATACAGGTTAGAAACTTGGGCAGCATGTCACAAAAATCATTTGCAACATGCCACTTTAGATTTTATCAACAGCTGTCGCCGTCTTTGACTCCATATTGAAGATCAAATGGCCTGCTGGTCAGAAAGAATTATCAACAAGAAATTCTGAGAACGAACTAACGAAGAACTATTGCTCAACAGATGTGTATTAGGAAATGGAGACGGATTGGAAATACATTGAGGAGGCTGTCGAGTGAAATCGTGCGCAGTGAAGGCCATCGCTCGAGTGGAACCCGTAAGGGAAACGACGAGTGGGGCGTTCATGGGTAGCATGGAGGACGTCGTGCGAGGAGGAGATGGGAGACTATGGGCAGTGGTGGGACCAGCTTGAAAGGACCTGAGAAAATCGGACAAAGTGGATGTGTGCTGTTGAAGCTCGATGTCCCACTCGGGTCCCGAGGGAACAATAATAATGATTTAATCATGCCACAGTCTGCTTTTTTCTCTCACTGGTGTGAACGCCATACAAGGCAATCAATATCAGTTTGTATGTTTCCAACAGCAACACCTACTTATTCACTTCTTCTACTGTTTAGTTATCTTTTTTGTGTTTACGTCTTGTTGTTATTAGTGCTTGTAGCCGATTTCATGATGACCATACTATATGTACTAAGAATTCATTTTCGGTGATAAGAATAATAATAATATCATTAACTCCTTGTCTGACTTCATGTTTGTTTATTTAGTGAAAATACTAAGCATGGTTTGCTTTTTATATGCAACTGCGACTGACTGATCAACACTTCCGACTTCCAACCACTTCATCACTGTTACAGACCCTTCTCCGTCTTCTGGGGTCTGTGTGATCTCGAGAAGTTCTTCAGCTGTGATTACATTGGAATACCGGTGATTATACCTGAAGATGTATTTAGTTAAGAATTTACTATCACTTAGCGATTAATAGATGAACGTTTTCAGTGATTTCTGTTTAATTGCATGTGATTGCCTATTCAGTGTTAGGGATCTCAGAATTCCATCATACAATTTTACTGCTGGTAGTTGTATTTTTGTTAAATGGTCGAGTTAAATAGGTTATGCGGTATTAGTCAATAAGTTGAGGTTGTAATTTGTTTTAGACGAGAAGCCTCATGATCTTTTATAAAAATGGTACAGTAACACTGCTATATTATACGCCTGTTTATAATGAATCCTCCTTATGATATGAACAATAATTTGTGCTTAAAACATGATTATCCGTAAATATTACTGTACAATACTATGTGATTTATCAAAATAAAATCTTATCCATAGTGGAGTTATGCACTACTACAGTGCCCAAGTTTTATACTTGTGTCGATCCTCCTTAGTTTTTTCCCCATCTCAAAACCAGTTCATCTATGTGTCGTTTTCGAGAGTTACTTGTCAATGTTTTCTTTTCGATTTGTATTTATCAGATTTGTTTCTCGTGTCAATCCTCGTGATTCGTCTCGTCATGTGATATTGGGAACTCAACAGTTCAAACCGTCAGAGTTTGCTAGCCAGTTGAATTTAAATATGGATAATGGATGGGGTATACTAAGGTGTGTTATTGACTTCTTCATGAAAATGCCAGAAGGAAAGTATCTGATGTTGAAAGATCCCAATAAGGTATTTGCATATTTTATTACATCTATTGCTGTTAACAGTGTCTTTTTGCTCATTGTCTCATGTTCATATATGTTAAACTTCAAGTTGTAGATTTGAGAAATAAAAATAACAAAAAGTAACTCACAACTCCATGGATTAGGTGATAGTGATCTAATGTCACTAATGTATGCATTATTTGGACAGTTTCATATTTAGTATTGGTATGTTGAATACTGATCCACTGAGTATATTGGGTTACTCGTTTGTCTTAGATTGATTACATGCTTTTGCACTGATAATTCGATAAGAATAATGAATTGTGAAAACCACCCAAGACTTAGAAGTGGAGTTTTTCTATCATTCCACAAGTTCACCTTTTTTTATCATGTATTTAAAAATAGTCAGTGTGCGTCGAAGATCCCAAGGTTAAATGCTCACCAACCATACACCTGTGATCGGAGTACCATTCTCTTCAAACACACCCTCGAACTTCGTCTAGAGAGAAGTAGGCCCTGAAAAGATGAATATGGGGAGTCGGGTTAGCAATTCCTCCCCGTAAAAATAACACAAGCGTTACTGGAACTTCAAAGCGTAAAGTCTGAATCTCCATATCTCACTTGGGATGCAATGGAATGGAAAACACAGCTGTCAATGTCATACAAGAATTGCCTTTTATAAATTTGAGAAGAGAGAGAACAAACATTGGTGCAGAATAACATGGGTCCATTTTATTTCGTCGGTTCTCATCAGCTGCATACAACCTATAATCTTCAATAAATAAGAGTCAGCGTAAAATTTAACATAATTTTGTCATAAGCAAGCACATTATAAGAATGTCATGGCGGGGTTAAACATCAGGATATATATATATATATATATATATTGTCATACGAAAGTTTCTAAGAAATCAGTTGATGGATTTCTTATTAATGTAGTAACAGTTACGTAGTTAGATAAGAGAAGATCAAAATTTGGTGTGCACGAGGTCAGACGAAAAGATGATGACGTAATATGGTGAGTAGAACTCATTAGGTTAAGAAAAATTATCTCTTATAGCAGTCGAACAGGAAAAAAGTTTGTTCTTTCTCTGCTCAAATTTATAAAATGGAATTCTTATATGAAATTCTTGAAGGGACGTGTCCCTGCTGAATCACCTAGTGACCTTGCTCCACCAGAACTTCAAAGCTCTATGTCCCACCCGGAACAAAACGGAATGGGAAACAATTATCTGTATCATACAATGTTTGCTCATTCTCTACTAACAGTACAAGCAGTTTTTCATAGTGATTTGTAGTTTAGGCATATTCATGTGGTCAGATGATCACTTAACAGAGATATTTGGAATTTCTTGTTGTTACCTGTCAGCTTTATAGTGGCTACCAACGTGTTAAGTTCAACACCTAATGATTCACACAATAAAGCCCTTCTTGGGTCTCATTGAAGATGTCACCACTTATTAAGTTGCATTGACATCATTCTGATGAGCTCAGTATCGAACTTAGCGCGCACTCATAGGCGCCATCAAGAATCCAGTTGCTAGTTCAAGGACCTCTTCTGCTAAAATGTCTGTAAAGTAATATCAGCATGGAACCACATCTCTCCGTATTTTGTGTTAGTTATATTATATCTTGAGAAAATATTTTTTTTAATTGCCGATAATGTATACCTAAACCTGCAAGTAACTATTTCACTTTTTAGCCGGTCATTCGCATCTACTCCATCCCACAAGATCCAGATGAGGGTGAAGGGATAAGCGAAGAAGAGGAACCAAATAATACGGAACAATATCCTTCTAACCAAAGTAAAGCAGGTGAAGATGGTCGAGAGGAGGAAGAGGGAGCAGTTAAAGAGAACGTTGATGCTTCTCAAAAAAACGGGAAAGTGACCAACAATCAAAGACTACTGACCAAGAGGAATCATAAACTGACTTATTCAATCTATACTTGTATTCTCTAATCTGGTTAACTAATATTATGAATTCACTTCTTTGTGCTATAACTGAACGTTAAATTTTTCTCCAGCCTACGTTTGAAGTCTGTCTGTTAAATCTTATGATTTCAATTTTTGATCAGTCAACTTATACATATTCTGGTGAAGGGGATATTCTGTTTCGAGTTTTAATCATTTTACAGTGGAAAAAAGTAAGGCTTCTTCAATCAGTCAACATACTCCGTCTGTGATATCCTAAAGTTTCAGATCATTTCCTTAACGGTGGGGTGCGAATTTGATAGCGAAATTCAAAGGTGGTTGATAACATTCTGTGGAGTATTGTTTGTAAGCATGATAGTCCTATTCACTCAGCCTTTTGCAACAATCGGCGTAGAAGATGAGTTCTCGCTCACTCTTCCCTTGCTAACTAATTCTTAACTCCAGTGGCACAATAATGCTATTTGTAGCTTATCATTTTAATTGAAAAACTGAGAATGTTGAGGGAGAAGTCATCCAAAGGTTTGATGCCTGTTATATTGGACTCAGTATTTATAAATGCATCGCTTTCACACAAACTCTGCTAGCTATACACCTGCTGCATAATAATGAGAGGTCAAAGCAAAGAAATCAAGGTGGATGACAATTAGGAATGCCCATCATTTCCCAAAGATCAGTCAACGGGGAATAGGAAACAACTGAATCAAACAGAAAGTGTAACTCGCTGCGTAAAATTTACTCTTATGGCCCAGCGGAGGTATCCTCTTGGATGGATGGTTAGTTACATTATTCTTCTGTGTTCGAAATGAAGCGGGGTCTTTGAATTCTCCATTAGTGAAAACTTACTCTTATGACGATTCTGTGTCGGCGATAATAGTTTAATTGTCATGATATTGTAGTGTGGCCACTTCTCAAGTGATATATAAATCAGATCTTTCTCGACATGTTTATCAGGTCAGGACTGAACACAGGCAATTGGCATGCACTGCCCAGTGATTATCTTAGAGACGATTTATAGAAGCACAAGTGAATCATATGGGTTTGAGCGAAGGCTCAATAGTCTCAGGACTTGTAGCCAACGTCAGATCACTAGCAGGACAACTGATGTGGGTCAACCAGTAAAGCAGATTCTCGGTCAGTGAGTAGACCAAGAAAAACTAAGTCAACAGGCCAGTTATTCTAGTATTGCTGGTGGTTTGACACAAGGTCAACAAAATATGCACCACCACGTGCCTGGCCTGGGCCCCCTCACAAGCAGAAGGGGAACGAGTAAACTTTTCTCAGGCAACGATTATTCGATTTTCACTGTTGATGGTACAGTGGTAAGACGCTCTCCAGCCTCGCATGTGGTCTTGGGTTTGACACACTATTAGACCTCGCTAGTCTGGTAGTAAGATTGGTAAAGAGGGAAGGTTGGGCATGAGGTTGGCAACCCCACCGCGCCAAAGTAAAACACTGCTACCGAAACTTCAGAACTCTAGCTCGGAAGTCTGTTTCACTTGGAATGTAAGGCAATACAATAAATGGCCTAAACCTAGCATTCCTCAGCGTAGATTTCCTTAGAAGTTATTACCCACTAGTGGGCACACGGATGAGACGTCTAACAATAAAATGAACCAACTGGTATTCGAATGGCAAAGTGAGTGTGCAGCATTCGTGGAGTCTAGTCCAATATTCGCCGGTATCAACCGTGAGGTCCTGGAAAATAATATGGTATCCCCAACTCTAACGGCAATCAGCCCAGAAATTACTCATAGTGTGAGGACACATGGCCTTCTAGTTTTCGTTAAACCAAGAAAATCAGCACCGGATAAGCCAAACATAGAATAAGCTGAATTTGGCTACATGCTCTAGCTGGGAAAATCTCGTCTAGTTAACTAGCTCGCTAGTTTTCTAGCCGGTCCCAAGCTCGGAGGAAGGGGCGTGGTGCTAGCAACTCCACCCTCAAAACTTAACCAAATTTCCACAAAAACTTCAACGCATAAATATATTAAAAATATAAGCAATAACCTTATTTTTCGCTGGAATCGGAGAAGCGAAATGAAGCAGGTTAGTGAAAGTCCTCGGAAAACTAGTCAGCCGATGTGCGTTCTCTCGATAAAAGCAAAAGTAAGGATGGGTACCTGGAATGTTCGTACAATGTACGAAACTGGAAAGGCTTCCAAGGTAGCCGCAGAAATGGGAAGATATGAAATATAAGTGCTGGGAATCTGCGAGCGCAGATGGGACGGATGTGAAAGGTGCCAACTATCAACTGGAGAGACAGCAATCTATTCCGGTCACCCAGAGGACAGCCACGGGGACACCGAGTGATTGGCCATCATGATTCACTAACGGCAGCCAAAGATCATACAGATGGAATCAATCTCCTTCAGGATAATAGGTGAAGGCCGAGCCTACTGGATACAACATCAAGGAGAGGAGCAGATGTGAGTTCAGACCACTGTCTAGTAGAAGGGACTTTAGGGGTTGGTGGATAACTCGTTCAGCAACTTCTAATTAATTTATTCTCGCGTACCAAAGACAAAGCAAAAGCCAATAACTGATCGTCCAAACTTCGTAATATATTTTGGAACCAAAACAAGCCAGGCAATGGATAAAGGCACACACGACCTTATGGAGAGGCTGAGCACCTCAAGGTCACATATGCATACTGTGATTGGTAAATTTTACTTTGCGTAAACACTGCGGCTAATACGTAGCTCACGTTACTGAGGCGGGCTTTGAAATGATAGTAAGAAAAGTCGCATAAACACTACATTTTTTCAGCTTAAGGACACAAGTAAATGCATGCATAGATTCTACAGATGTGATATGCATGTGGACCCACTAAAAAAGAGAATATTATTGGGTAACTTAATCAAAGAAGTATAAAGTTTGAAGATTTAGTCTTTTTCAGTTGATTGTAGCGGACAGAGAGGAGAGGCATTTGTGTAACATTTGCATTTTGCAGAAGACAAAGTGTGAAAGATAAATCGGAAGTTTTAGGATTCTTCAAGTTTATTATGGGATATATGGACTGTTCATACCGATTCTACTAGTGTTCCCTCCCTTGTTCACATATTCATTGTTGCTAAGATTGGGGATTGTTCACCTGAGGTAAGAATAATTCATCTGATATGTATATGTCCTTAGATATTTCTCAGTGTGGTCGCAGGTGGTCAAAGGAATACAATCTCAATCTTTGCATGGAAAGGTCATAACCAGTTTCTTCTGAAGGATCAGGTGGTGCTGAAAGCTGTAAAGACTGGTCCGGTGTCACAATCATCTAAGGGAAACTGATCCACATATTGTGGATAAAACGATTAGTGGACTTTAATTTGACAATCATGTACCCATAAAAAATCTACATCTGTGATTTTTTCCCACCCTTTTTAATGTGAATATGTACTGTTTAACTGTTTTTATTTTGTAAATATATGCATTTATGTTGGCTACATGTATCTCTCTTAATTATCATTTCGAGGACATTGCATAGTTAACGAAGTTGATAGGCAACGTAGTAATACTTGTGTGAAATGCGTGATAATCGTAAACCGTTATTATTTCCTCAGTGCGTCATCAAGCCTCCCATGAAATGTTTCAGTTACACTCAATACGGCTGCGTAAAAGATTACCTTTCATCAGGGCTTGCGAAAAAATGTACGTTGAGCTTAGGTTTGTTTCGCGATTACTACATATACATAATAACAAATGTAGGGCGGCTACGTGCATCGAAAATAACGCGTTATAGGTATATCCTATTAAAGAAAATCCTAGTATTCTTATGTTGCGTAAATTATCACTCTTTCAGATTAAATTAATACGCATTCCAAAACCGGCTACATCACTATTCCTTCGACAAGCAAAGGGAAGTAGTAGTGAATTCTTCAAAGAACACCGTTAAAACATTAAAAGGATATTTATTTTGATAAATAATTTTATAATATCACAAAGATTCCAACGATAATAATAATAATAATGTATATTCTCATATAAACATATAAATTTACATGAAAATGCATGCCATTTTTACAGGCACGATCAAGTATGATATAGTATCAAATCGTAGATTGTCTACAAGTTAATAATGTTTCAACAGTTAAATATTTGATATATATATAAATACACATTGTCTGAACTAGGCTGTATAGTTATTGAATTGTACAATTGTCCTCCAGGTTGAGCGGGAAAATCGACTTCGTTTCGTTTTCATCCCGTGGTTGTCGGCATACGATAACCAACCAATATTGAGGTAAGTACAACGTTTACAAGGGATTGAAAGCTGTTTTAGAGAAGTAAAAGTGCTGAGGTGAATCATTAAATTGTAATGAAATTGTAATAACGCGCAAATTCTTCAACTGCACTTCAATAGACTTTGAGAAGGCATTTGACACTGTTCACCATGACCTTCTCCTACATAAAATAAGCCAGGCAGGCATAGGTGAGCCACTTCTGTCATGGTTGAAGGACTACCTAGCCGACAGGCAATTTTGCACTAAGGTTAACCGAGTCCGATCATCTTGGCACAGATCGTCATCAGGAGTGTCGCAGGGTTCTATCCTAGGACCACTGATGTTTTTGATTTTCATCAATGATCTACCACGCCGTCTGAGCTGCCCGACTCTCCTGTACGCTGACGACGTAAAAATATGGAGGGCGATAAAGTGTCCGGAGGACTCAGATAGGCTACAGGAAGACCTAAACCTTCTGGAAGACTGGGCGGTGGCCAGTGGCATGACTTTCAACTTGAAAAAGTGCAAAGTAGTGAAGTTGCGCACCTGTAGACTGCAGAATGCAAGTTACACCCTGTGCAATGAAAGCTTGTCCTGCACAACGTCGGAACGCGACTTAGGTCTAGTTCTAACGGAAAAAATGGACACAAGCGTAAATTACACAGGGGATGTAGCGAGGGCATATGCGGTCATACACTTTACGCATAGACAGTTAGGTGCACTCACTCCTGAGCTTTTTCTAATGTTGTACAAAACATACGTCAGGCCACACCTTGAGGTGCATAATATTATTGCACCCCCAATGCTGAGAAGAGA